GCTGCCTCGCAGATCCACTGCAACCACCGAGTAGAGGGGAAGAATCCGCGAACAGGAATCCAGCGCCGGATGACCGGAGAGAAACCTGCGACGGAAGGTGGGGCGGGTATTGCAACTCAACGTCCCTGAGTAAGGGTGAAGGGGATACGTCGCTTGCCTTTCACCCCAAAGTGAAGTCCTCGCTACCCAACAGAGGTGTATTGGAGCAAATATTTCGCGTTCACGAAGAGCCGTGCGGCACTCCTTGTCCTCCAGACCCCATCTTTCTCCACCAGATTTGGGGACATCCGTTGGCCAGAGATACGGGAGACACCGTATCTGAGGAAGGGAGCGGGTTCTTTGCAGATAGATGGGCCTGGAGGCGAATGCAGCGCGCACGCAAGCAAGGCGGAAGGAGACAACATAGAAGGGGGGAAACAGAAAACGAACAACAACGAAAATAAGAAATATGCTCCAGTGTCTGTGTGCTGCAGAGGGATTCTTGCCTGCCCTGACGTCTCTTAGACTCAGTTTACCATCTGGACGATCCAGACAGCCGCGCAGACGATAGGCAGCGAAATAATCCACCCTCCGCGCAGAGGGCTCGCAGTGGGGATATCGCTTTGGCGACGAAGATCACGAGCAAGTAAAAAGAAACGGAAAGGAGGAAAGAGAACGCAGACCGAGAACGAAAGGTCTCGTTAGGACATCACGCAAGACACCGCCCCCGCACGAGCGACACCTCACCTTAGCACAAGACCTCAACATGTCCAGAATCCCGAAAGACGAAATCGTCCAGAGAGATTGTACTCGCTGGTGCTCGTAGAGACCACGCGAGAAGGTACTTGAACGTGAGTGCCCATCTGTGAAGGGCCGCTCGGACGGGAGGCTGTAAATGGCGGGTTGTATAAATCGGGTAGGGAGTCGCCGCAGAGGGATGAATCGATGCCGAGCATGGAACGACAGAACAAAGAGTAAGAAGTAGGAGGATGACGCACCGTCGACGGTAAGTCAATCGAAGGAAACGAGATGTCCACTTCGAACTACAATGTGAGGTAAGTTGACACGGCGTGAGTCAAATGCGGCGAGAAATAGCAACACACGTACCTCAGCATGGGACCCCTGTCCTCGAACGAAACAAGTTTACCCCGCTTGACCAAGGAAACTGCATGGTGTCGGTGTGAAGAAGAGGATGCATCCCTTCCTCGTGAAGGTCTTTGTCCCGTTGCTTGTGCCTCGTGGAAACCGCAGGCCGCTACTCCAGGTGTCTTGACGGCTAGCAACAACGGGATAATAGGCAGACGCAGGATGTAAAAAAATGAACAATGCACGACCCAACGCCTTCAGCGCGCATATATCGAGCATCTCGTATGCAGAATGGCGAACTAATTCTAACAGGAGTGAATCGAAGGCCTAGGCTTCGAGGAAGAATTGTGAAACCGATCCTCTCGTGGACACGAAAAGCAGGATAAGGAAGACATCCCTGCTCCAGCAAGACCAACTGGCTTCCACGACACGTCGCTTCACCAGTCCGCTAACGTTCAAGACGTCGCTCCCAGATTACGACAAGGGGTAGGAGATAGTTGGGTGCGGAGGAGGGTACGACGGTCTTGGAGAGTGGGAAGGTGCGAAAGAGATGGAAGAAGATGATAGAGAAGATGGCTAATGAGGGCAATAAACGAAAAAGTTAAATATATGCGCCAGGAATAATTACTCTGGGCCGCTCTTGGTTCCCTTCAAGAGAACTCCCTCGTCGGCGCGCAGCTTCGTTCCGAGAAACTATATGCACTTGCAAAAGCTTTCCGGACCAATAAGAATGTAGCAAACGTCCCTTGCGCCATTTGCCTCGCCTGGGACGAACACGGCGTCTCTAAACTCCATGGGATCAGCACAGCTATCGCCGAGGCACCAATATGGGAGTAATAGTGCGATGTAGACCCACAAAGCCCGAAATCAGGCGCATATAGTGAGCCAAAGAGGAAGAAAATCGTCATAGGTAAGTAAATGCGGTGTTACCCGCATCCCGTGCAAGCGCGGGAGGGAGATCAGGGAAGAAGTAAAGGAGAGAAGAGGAGCACGCCCTTTGAAGTGCAAATGAGCGTCGCACTGAGCCCCTCCGTGGCGTGAACACGTCTCAACGGCCAAACACGATTCTAAAGATGTGGTGGGTCACGTTAGAAAAAAGAAGACGCGTGGGCAGGGTAGACACGGCGCAGACGGTGCTCCTGGTGCTTGGGATGGGTCTCTGATCCAGATCGTCAAGGATGATGCTATCTGGAAGATGTAGAGCTAAATGGAAACTCGCACCTCGCCATAGAACTCGGAATCGGGGGGCTCGCCTGGAGTCGGCGGCAACACTAGCATTAGGATGTGAAATCAGTGAAAGGAAAGTAGAGCACAGCGAGCGCACCTCAATCTGTATGCCACGCCGATGGCAACGCATATCTACGTCGCAATTTGTTCGGCGGAGGTAATAGACGAGCAGTGTTGGTGCGAGATGAGACGATGGTGGTCCTTCTGCGCAATGAAGGTTGTAGTGAGAGAGAAAGAGGACGGGAAGATTCGTTATTCCGGACCAAAGGAGCCATTGTTTGCCTCTGCTGGAGCCGCCAAACAACGCGTGTTCAACTTCCTCTCTCCCTCTCCCTCCCTCATTCCCACCGAATATCATCCTCGACTTTGTGTACTGCTTTCGGTACGATCCCTGGAGACTGCCGACTGAGTCCAAAGGTGGGTGATGGCTACGCACAGTCTAGGTCACGATAAGTCCGTGAAGCGGCAGTACGTCGGCAGACTGGCGATCAGCGTGACCAGCTGTCCCTGTCACGGCGTGGGAAGGAAGCAAGCCCCTCCCCGTTGTGAGACGATAACCCCCCTCAACACCAGTTGGATCGGGGTCCAAATGACGCTAGCTATAATGTATGTCATGGAATCCTCGGTTGTCGAATTGGGAGTGACAAAAGACAAAGAGCGAAAAACTAGGTGTACACCTTTTGGCCTAGAATGTGGCTGACATTGTACTTCCCCTCTAGCCACGCCAATGCCTTGACGAAAGGAGTCCCATTGTCCGTCACCATCTCCAACACTGACCCCCACCTCATCATGATCTTCTCCAACAAAAACCTTCCTATCGCTTTATGGTTCTCTTTCCTCAACATCTCAAACTCTGGCCAACCCGACAAGTTATCGCGTGCTTGGATGACATATTTGTAGCCTCCGGACTTCAGCAGATGCATTGTGTCAATGTGACATTTTTGGAACAATCCCGGTGGACTTATCACGGTAGGTGGGAGCAACACGGCTTGCTGCGACATTAATTGACACTCGTGGCATGTATCCAGAAACCACTTGATGTCTGCATCCGGATTTCAGGTTACAACTCGAGGGCGAATGGCACCGTCGAGGCTGCTCACCAGCCAGTCCGCAGCGCACTCATCAAATCCAGCAACGGTGATATTCGAAAGTGGCACGAACACCTGCCATACGTCTTCTGGGCAGAGCGCATTACGATGAGGAAATCTACAGGGTTTTCACCTTACTATGCAGTGCATGGAGTGGAACCTCTCTTACCGTTCAACATCACCCATGCAACGTTCCTTCTACCACCAATGAAATCCCTCATCACCGAGGTCGAGTTGCTTGCTATGCGTGGACGACAGCTTGAACGACGAGACGACGACATCGCAGCCATGCAGAAACGTGTTTTGAAGGCTCGCTTTGCTTCGGCTGCCAAGTTCGAAAAGCGACACGAGAACGTCTTGATCGACTACGACTTTCAGCCCGGGGAGTTCGTGCTGGTGTTGAACAAGAAAATTGAACCTGATGTTGGCCGAAAGGGTAAACCTCGCTATTATGGTCCCATGGTCGTCATCAGGCGCTCTGAAGGTGGTTCGTATCGCCTTGCCGAGCTGAATGGGGCTGTGTCGAAGTTGAAGTATGCTGCGTTTCGGTTGATTCCTTATTACCCTCGTGGCAGGAAGGTAGTGAAGGTGACGGAGTTGGAGGAGGTTTGAGTGTTTTGGGGACCGGGGTGGTTGGCAACCAGGGATGGTTGATTTTTAAAGTGAGGGGGAGATGTAGGAGGGAGAGGTTGGCTACGATGCGATGTTGGTTTACGGTGACTGCACGATCACATGATCTGTGGCGCGTCTCGCCTAGGACTTAGCTTTCGGATTCATGCATTGAGACTTCATTCATTCTACATTCCGTGTATCATACAGCCTTGGCCTTTATCCATCCGAACTCATACCGACTTACTGTCATTCAATAATGACAAGAATTATTTCTCGCGCGCTCTACCAATTGTCATCGTGGGTTCTTTCTAAGTTCTTCAAGCTCATTGTGGATTGACCTTTGACGTAGATGACTCTGGCTGTCTGCTTGTTATTCACATCGCTGATAAGGGAGGAAATGTTCCAGCATTCGCAACCAGCGCGTTCGTTCTCCGCCCCAAATCCACTATCGTCTCCCCGTTAAACTTCGCCATTCCCCAGGTATATCCTCAAAACGTTCGAGAGGCTCAAAAAAGCAGAAGTACAGGAGTCACATACCGCTTCCTTCCGAGCGACTGCTGAATATCCCAATCAGGCCTTATTCTACACCAGCCTCGCTGGCGCGGTGGCGTTGGACATGGCAGTCGCCGCTGCGCTATGCGCTTTCCTTATCCGAAGTCGGACGGGAGTCAAGCGGTGCGGTTCTTCGAAATATCTGCTTGGAAGAATACTTGCTGGATGTTGCGTGATTTAATAGGACGGATTCGATGCTCTCGTTCTTGATTGCGTTCACCATAAACACAGGTTTGGAAGCATTAAAGTAGATCTACGGGAGGAGATGCTAACCCTGTGCTTCCAGGGTTACTCACGAGGTAGGTGCAAGACGTGCTGCACTCAAACGTGGACCCAGGGAAGACTGAAAGGTTATGCAGTATCTGTGCCCTCTCTTGTTTAATCACAGTGTGTAACCCTTTCTTCATTGTCTTTGGTAAAATTTGACGACTCGTGATAGTACGCACTATGGCCGAGGCGACTCGTCTTCCTGGGCATCTATTTTACTTTGAGCAAGCGTGAGCCCTATGAATCCTTTCGCTGTCCTTGAAATCTTGCACTCATTCATCAATCTATTTTAGTATATGTTAACTCTCTGCTGGCATCTCTCAATACCCGCAATGCACTTCGGAAACGGAGTTTCGGCCAATTGCCTGAATTCCGTGTATCTATAATCATGGACAAGAGCGAGGACCTGGTCCAGGGGATAGCAAGTAAGTAGCGGAACTGTTGTCGTGTCATGTCATGTACTCTATAATCGTCTTTGTATTATAATTGCTCGAGAGAGCTTATTTGTCCGATCGAAAATTGCTTATAGAGACGTCCTCTTCAGCTTCTACAAATTGAAACCAAACCAATTTACATAGAAGTGGCACGCCTTCGACTCCGTCTGTCTAACCTTCTACAAGATCTCCTCTTTCTTCGGCGGCTCACTGTTCCCGAGGATCTGGATAGACCTCCCTGTAAATCCCAACTTGATCTGGTTCGCCAAATGTATCTCCACACCAAGGTCCTCCGCCATCTTCCACACCAACCCAGGATGCTTCTGGAATCCCCTCCCGACAAATATAACATCCGCGTCTCCCGCCTGCAGAACCTCCTCCGCGGCGACTCCGTCCGAAAGACCACCAACGGCGCTGACGAACATGCAGGAACCGACAGCTTTCTTCGCTGCAGCGGCGAAAGGGACTTGGTACTTGAGCCCTGCGCGGACCTTTTGGCGGTGGTCCATCCCGCCTGCGGAGACGTCGAGGAGGTCGACACCGTGCTCAGCGAGGATGGGCGCGATGCGGGCGGTGTCTTCAGCGCGCCATGAGGGCTCGTTGGCTGCTACCTCCTCCAGCCACTCAGAGCCAGAAATCCTGGAAGGAGGTCGGTCATCGGAGAACAGAAGAATAAAAGAAATTCAATACCTGAGGAAAAGAGGCATCGTATCTGGGATAGCAGCCCGAATCGCGTCCATGACCTCCAGAGTCAGCCGAATCCTATCCTTGAAGCTACCCCCATATTCGTCAGTGCGTTGGTTGCTGTTCGGGCCCGCAAACGACGACAGCAGATACCCATGTGCGCCATGGACCTCGATCACATCAAACCCGGCCTCCACCGCACGCCTCGCCGCATCCGCGAATGCTTTCACCACCCTCTTGATGCCCGCCTTCGTCAGCTCCTTGGGCGTGGGGTACGTTTCATGGAACGCCACCGGAGATGGACCCACGACCTCGTCCGCCCACCCACCAGCCTCCTTTGGCGCCACGGGCCCAATGCTCACCCAGGGTGGGACACACGACGCTTTACGCCCCGCATGCGCCAGCTGGATCGCTATCTTCTGGCTCTGGGAGTGGGCGAACTCGACGAGCTGCGCGAGAGGCTTGATCTGATCGTCGGACCAGAGCCCGACGTCCTCGAGGGAGATGCGGCCTTCGGGAAGGACGGCGGTTGCTTCGAGCATGGTTAGTCCGGGTCCGCGCGAGACGATGCCGCCGACTGTCGACCAAGGCGTGGGGTTGGTCAGAGGTAATGTCGATGGGATGAATGGTAAGTAGACGGGACATACTATGCGCCATATGCCATGGTGTAACGATGCCATCTTTCGCGGAATACTGGCACAGCGGTGCTAACTAGAGACAACGTCAATGGTCAGACACAAATTCCATTGAAAGACGCGATAACACACGAAGATCCTGTTCTGGAACTCGACACCGCGAATCTTCAGCGGCTGGAAAAGCTTTGGGATCGGTTTGCCGCTCTTCTGCGGATTAACAGCTGTGCCCGCTGGTGGGCTCTGTCTCGGCGTGAAATACGAGATGCCTGGTGCGGGAGGGTTGATGTTGTCGGCCATTGAGAGTTGTAGTATTGGGGTATACAAAGAACGAAGAACTTGACGAACCTTTATATGCGACGACTCGAAGGGTGCCAATCCTTTGCTTCTTACGAAGCTGACGGCAATGCCTAGAGGATTGACAATAAGTATGAAGTGATCCGTCCTTCTATGGACTCGCTGTCGTGCTCGTGGTTTATAATTTATCCTCCGGAGCCCGGATGGGAGTGGATTTACTCAATTTCTCTGTGAAGCCGCACCTATTCGTATGCGATTCTCGACTTCTTCAGCTCGCAAATGCTTATTGTTGCTTATGCGCATCATGCACAGGGGGCCTAGCTGTGAGAAAGGCGAGGTTCTCAACCTTCTCATCAACGTTCGGTACTTCCATCCAAATAGCTTGCAAGCGAAATCCTCCACTGTGTCATTCTTAATTAGCAGATGCTTACTGTATTTCTTAGTGTGAACAGGTCATTAGAATTACACTCCGCGTAAGACTGAGAAGCTCACCCAGACGCAGAAGAATTGGATGTAAGATGATGCTCGGTCAGACAGAATCCTGAGAGTCGTTTGTCATGGCGAGTTCGGTAGTGGTGAATGTGAGCGTTCGGCTGATAACGAGTAAGTCTCAGCTGGGATACCAAGCTCTCATCAGGTATATGCCGCAATTGAGCCAAAAAATCGGATAGATGTAGGTAGTGGCATGTTAAAATACATTAGGGGGCTAGAGGATCGTCAGTGAAGAGATCCCTGATATAGGATAGTTGAGACTCACCGCTGCGATATGTCTTGAGAAAACATAAGTTATCGTGTTCCTGTCACGAGTCTACTCCTTCACCTCCTCGTCATCGTGCGAACGGATGCGCTCGATGTCCTGCTTCGACATCGTCATGCGAAGGCGCAGCTGATTCTTCTTGTCCGATCGAATGTGCATATTGATGAAACTGGCCAGGAAGGTTAGATGGATGGAGCACATAGTACTGTTAAACTCACTCGACGCAGGACGTCACCGAGAGCGCGACCTCCTTGCGAATCGACATCAACGCCGACTCGACGGCGAAGCCCACCCCTGCCTTGATGCGAAGGATCGCGTCCTCCTGAATCATCATCCCGAACGTGATGCTCTGCTTCGCCTCTCCCGCCAGGCAGAAGTCGAGCAGGCAGACGGGTTGCCCCGCGTGTCCACGCCGCTCGAGTTCGGCCTTGGTGTTGCGCCAGATCTCGAATCGCGTCTTGTCCAGAGCACGAGAAGGGCTTGGGGGAGACGACGGCGAATCAGGGGTAGGGATGGCAGGAGCGGAGAAGACAGAGGGCACGAATTGGCGCAGCTGGAGCATGCCCTCCGTGGACGCCCGTTCGGCGGGCGAGAGCTGCCCCATAACGAGCTTGAGGAGGTAGCTCATATCGGAGGGCTCGATGACGACGTTGCACTGCGCGACGAAGGGCTTGTTAGCCCAGTCGCCCACGTTAGGTGTCGCGTCGCCAAACGAGAGCTTCTGGGTATGCGACACGAGCTCGTCCACGGTTTCGTCTGACTTGATGTTCGATGGCGGCGTGGCGAGATTGAACATGACCACGAGGGCGAGCTGGAGGAAGTGGTTCAGGAGCGGGTTCGCCATGAGGCTGTTAAGCATCTTCGGGATCGAGGAGCTGGATTCCTTGCAAACGAGCTTGTGGATTGGCCAGTCTTTCTTCTGACACTGTGTTTGCGATATGAGCCTGTGCTCTCGTTGAGATACAGCAGAAAACGTACCTCGCGTGAGCAATACCACGCTATCTTGCACTACGACGCGTCAGCGCGCAAGTTACTTTAGAGGATTCGAATTTACGCACCCTGGAGCATTTCAGCAACTCGGCACCTCCGACCGTGTTCAATTTGGTGCACCCAGAACACGCTGCGGCGATGTTATTTCTCCCCTCGCGGATTACCTTCTTCGGGGCGGCGATTGCGCGAAAGGTCGGCTGGTTCTCGGGGTGAACCACAGTGTATATGGGCGGAAAGTTGGGCTTGTAGTCGTCGCTATACGCCATGGCCAGTTACAAACGCGCAGAAGAGACGCGAAGCAGAAGATAGTTGCATAAATAATCGCCTCATCATATCATGGTCTCGGCCGATGCCGGCGATTCTAATGAGAGAAGATCGGTTATCTTATCTTATCAATTCTACATTGCGAGTATATTTGTTCCAGCCAAATAGACGCTAAAACCACCATTTTTGTACTCGAACCACCAACATGAACTTACATTCAACATTCAACCAACGTCAACGTTCAATCTCGACAAATTTCACATTTATTCCCCTACATACTTTACAATCACTACAACTTGGTGCTTCGACGAACCAGAGCTGGTCTGGCCGAACGATAAGTTAGGAGGGTGTCCTTGTTCCAAGCTCTGCGTCGCGTCGCGTTCGGACGTCTTCGACGGGCTTCAAGATCTTGTTCTGGCTCGAGTCGAGCGTTTAGTGTCCTGGTAAGCACTTCCTTTATTCATTTCCTTTAGGGTGGAGATGGGTGTGGTGGTGGTGGTGACAGCAGGAACTGAGTGGTGGTGGGAGCGGCACGAGGCGTAGCGGATTATCGAACTCCTAATGGACGCGTGTGGAGGATCCAGACGTCCCTTTCCGTCCTGCTCGGATCCAACCCCGTCCAAAGCGTCCTGAAGTGAAGCGCTGAGCATACACTCGTGCTCACCTCGTCGTCGCCTCGGGGACGCGTCTCCGCCTGCATTGCCATCTGCGCATACGCACCCATATTCCCGTTCGCCCACACAGCACTCTGGCTGGTTCCCAAGGCGGCGCAGAATTCGTCCATCGCGCCCTGGCGAGCCCCGTTGTACACGGCGGTGAGCACATCTCCGATCGTGATCACACCGTCGCGTGCCTTGGGGAACACCACGATCGGCCGCGTGAACGGCGCGAGGCGGATCGTGAGCGACGAAGGGGACCTGGACGGCGAGGGCTCGAGCGCTGGCAGAGTGCGCCAGTGGTAGCTCGCGTGCGACGGGGCTCGGGCGAGTTGGGCATCATGCGTCGACTGATTGATGGACCAAATGATGGATGGCTCATTGGCATACGCGAGGAGGCGGTGGATGCGCGGGGGTGTAGCTGGTGGGGGCGGGCTGAGCGGGGGTAGAGGCACCGTCGCGTACGGAGAGCGGTTGTAGATGATGGGAGGAGGGCCTACCGTCCACTGGGGCTCGTTCAGCCCATACGCGGTGTAATCGGTGGGGGCGCGTCGTGGATACGGAGGAGTGTAGCCCTGATTTGGTGCAACTGCGGCAGCGGAGGTGGGGGATGGGTATGAGTCATGCTGCGGGTAGTGGTGGGTGGAGGAGCGACGACGGTCGTCCTTGCTGACTCGGCTGTTGGTGGAGGACGTGCTGTCCCTATGGATGACGCCTGGCATTGTGGATGGAGTAGGCTGTGTTGGCTAACTGTCACCGCCGACGACGGAGTTAGCAGGGGTCGAACGCGATAGAGGACGACAGAGATGACTCGTCCGCGACTCACGATGTGGTCTGTATGAGATGGCGGACGCTCTGCGTGCGGGGCTCGTGTGTTCGTCTCGGCGGCGGGTAGATTGTGGGTAGTGATAAGCGCTATGTGATCTGTGCGGGGAAGGCCCAATGGATGGATGGGTCGTATGTGAAGGAGAGAGAGACGCGAGTCAGGAAAGATACCGTTTATATCATCTCCTCCTCTCCTTCCAGCATAACAGGGGCATACAAGTCGGAGGACACTGTCGTGTCATTTTCGGCCCCGCAGCGAGTCGCTGGGAGGGGTGAGTGGCTGTGACTCTTAGACGCCTCGAGGCAGCTGTGGGCGATGTCAGGAGCGTGGGGATATTAGGGACCCTGCATCTTCGGAAGATAGACGCTCAAAACGGAAGCATTGAGGTATTTTTGCACCCTTCTACACGTTTCACGATGTTCTCAAATCGCTTGTTTTCATCTTCCTGTCAGGAATAGACGTGCGCTACAGTGCCTCTTCACTAGCACTCCTTGAGCCCGTCACACAGCTTGCTTGCTGGGAGTTGGACTTCCATCTTCTTCATTGAACGAAAAGATTGGAAGATCGCAGCTTTCGAAACCCCGGAAGGACATATTATGACGTCCATAGACAGGCACCTTCGGCCGGGGGTCGACGTCGCCGATCCGTTCCGCGACTGCGCTATGCTCAGTTGACACGAGGAGGTTTCGAGATGATCGTCGTACTTCTTAGCAGGTTGCTCGTTCGATCCGAAAGGACACGACAGCCAGCAGCCTTCCGCGTCTGAGCGGCATGGTTCTCCAGCGTCTATTTCACTGCTGCGGGGATCCAATATTACCCTTCGGTCGTCATATTCGATGCCATTCGATGGCGCCTCCGACTTCTTCCTGCTTTCCTTAGCTTTGGTCTTCTTAGCTTTCGCTGCTTCTGGCCTGGGATTTCATGCGGGCAATCGATGAAGCTTCGATCTCTTGGACGGCATACTTCGTTTCCATTATGTCTCTACACTACCTGCTAACCCCCCCAATCGTTCGAGTGGGTTGTCTTGGCGAGTAGCGGTCTCTTCTGGTGCTACCCAATTATTCAAGGATTTAAACAGTAATTCATACGCTTTTTAGGACGTCGAACTGGCCAAAAACGGGCTCTTCCTTGGGTGTGATCTCGGCCCATATCGCCCTGGTCTTTACGACCTCTAATCCTAATAAAATTTCCTTCGAGAAATCGCAAACAATGGTCAGTTCTCGAAGCAACGGTGCGATTCCATATCGGCGAATGTCATTTTCCAATTCAGTGATCTGTCTGACATTCAGAGATGTTCGACTTTGCGGCTCGGGAGTCTGGCTCGATACGAGAAGATTGGACTGTTCAACAACTTGGGTTGACATCTGCCTGCGATACAATCCTTTGAACGGGAAGACCCGTGCCCCTATCTGCACGAAAGCCGGAAAAGCCGAACGGAGTTTGGTTTGACGTGAACAGACAAACAGCGTGGTCCTACTCAGGACTGTTGACCTCGTTCTCCCTTTATTCTCTCTTCTTCGTGATGAGTCCGTGAGTTTTCTCTGCTCAATCTTTAAGTCACAAGGATGATACTCATCTCTCTCTTTCCCTAATGTTGCGCATGCTCAGTACCCTTTCTAGGTCTTACAGTTCTTCTGACGAGCCTCCTGACTTAGGGCTTCCTGACAGGCGAACGACAGTGGGTGGGCCTCTCTTGGATCAGCTCTAATTGCCTAGGAAATTTCTCGATACCGTTCTTTACTTTCCCTTCGGTGCTTCTGCCTTGGTAGCGGCTGTCCTTCCGCGACATCTGTATCTTCTCAGTTATCTAGGAGGCTACCACGGAAGACGTGATTCACGGAGATGTTCTGGTACCTCATCAGCCTTCTCATACTCTCTTTCGAACCCACATGGACTCGCTCGTGAAGAATGGGACCTTTCAGCGCCGAAAGGAAAGGCAGTTAGTTCTTCTCGCATGCCACCGAGGTGTGCTCCCAGACTGTTTGGATTTCGACCAAACTGTCGGTTCTCCTTCTGATCCTGACGCTGATTTTTCACACTCACATCGCCGCAAGTGCAGCTCGACACGTTATGTCTGGACCTCTCATTTTCGGTAAGAGTGCAATGAATAATATCCTGGACAGAGAGGCGTGCTTAGAGGTCTCATACAGCGATATGGCGAGAAATTCCAATTTCAATATCCTCTTCCAGATCGGCTTCTATCTCGAAACATCAGAGGGGATGACCTTGATCGAAATAAACTTCGCTCTCCCATACAACGCGATTGGTCTGGAATTGCTTGGATTGCAGCGCCAAGCTGGCAATGTAGCCACCTCCCTTTCTCGAGCAGCTTTCAGGATCAGAGAAACCATCGCCTCGTCGTGCTGCATCCGCCCTTCGGTAAGCCTTCTACCCACACCAATTGCCCCCGCGTTCCACATTTATTTTAAGCTCTCTCGTTCCTTGATGCAAGCTATCAGAAGGCTAAACATCTGACCTCACTGAATGGCCTAAACATGGTGGTTCTGAGATCCACCTTATTTTCCTCGACACTTTGGCGCTTCCGGTCTCCCAGTGCACCCGTATTCCTCGTGGGTGTGTGTCGACTCTGAGGGGTACTAGAAGCAAAACATGGGAGTGCGCTACGCGTAATGCGATTTTCGTCTCACGCGTATACGTTAGGGGACCTATAGACGATGATGGAGTTCCGCGAGAGTCTCTCGGTGGAGGTATGATGCAGCGTATGACCAGCGTCTACCCACATATTTTAAGGTCGTCGATTCCTCTAGTCGATCCTCACCTTACCATGTTTACCCCATCTTGGTGGCCACTGTTCCCCGTTCTACTCGGTAATATCCCCTCTACAGGACCAAGTATTTGACTCATGTTCTTCTGATCACAGAGCTTTTCCCTCGGGCGCTAGCTGTGCCAACGAGGACCGCAGCGTTATGCCCCAGTGCACCCGCGCCATCGTTTCCTTTGGTGGCAGCTCCAGGATGGACAGCTGGGACCGTCCTTGGAGGACTCGTCGCACCGAGGGGCATCAAGCTTGATACCCTTGGCAATTTGCTCATTCTACAGCGTGGTGTCGGCGTCACCGCCCATACGTTGACCCTAGACGGCTGCGTCTCGAGCTCGAAAACGGTCATTGCGGATACCACCCTTAACCACGCCATCGAACTCAACTTGCTTGGAACTAAGCTTTTCGCAAGGTACGGTCATTCTGACGTCTGTGCCTTAGCTCTAGCTGATTTGGAGTATTCAGCTCGCCAACCACTGTCTTTTCTTGGGATTATAACCCAATTACACAAGCGGCTACGAACAAACAGACGCTCATCATTGGGTACCTTTTCTATTTCCATCATGCGGGGTTTCTTCTAACCTCGACGATCTCTTCACAGCACCAACGAAGTCAACAATATCACACGCACCCTCCTTGTTCCGAGGTTGCCCCTCAATCGACTCGTCGTGAGCGTTGGCCCGAACGCGAACATAGATCTGGACTCCTTCGAACCCGACGACGGCCACGCGCAAGTCAGGGTATTCGATTTAGGTGCCATCGGGCCGAATGGAGTCCAGTAGTACGTCTCCTCTCCCCCCCATTGGTTGTCAGCAAATAATAAAGATCTCAACAATACCAGTACTTCAGGCCAAGTGTTGGGATTCGGCCTAAGGAACGATGTCGGCCTCGCGGAGGATCGGGCAGGAATCGTCCACAGCGTTGGTCAGTGAAATTTCCTCTCTGTTTGTCAACGATTAATGTTCTCTCAGAGAACTCCATCGACGACGCCTTCCGCATGGTCGACGGTCAGCGTCAAAACATTCGCGAGAATAATCCAGCGGACAAAATCTACAACTGTAAGTCACCCCTCCAGATTCACGTATCTCCCCTGTTCATAGCGGTTTAGTGGGCAGCCCTTCCTTGCCGAGCAATCTGTTTGGCGGGTATCCGTTCTGCTTTAACGTCTGGGATACAACCGATTTCACAGGTGAAAACTTGCAACGGAGTGATTGGTGAGTAGAGCGTTGCATAATGATTGGATCGCTTCTCAACTTTGGGTATTACGATTTTAGGTTTGTACTTGAAGACAACGGAACCATGACGAATGCTTGGTGCAATCAAAACGCCCGTAAACCCACCGTCCTTCTCCCACCACACTCAGCACCCTTGGACATGGAATTTGGTATTGGAACCGACACAAATTTGTATGTAGGTATGCACGGAAGTTTCGACAGGACACCAGGCGCGGTAAGTTCCATTCTGCTTCACGCGGGAACATGCCGTGGCACTAATGAGGCTGGCATTCTACCCATATAGGGGTACAAAGTCGTCGCTGTGCCCGGAAGCTTCTCCATAACAGGCGAATGGTCACCCAATCTCGAGCTTGTCGAAACAGTGGAGACTAGCTTTACGGATATACTGAAGAACGACGACGACTTGGAGTGTAACGCAGGTATGGTCCACGACCGAATTAATCTTCCGCCGCTCTACTGATTAGCTGCTCGAAGCGACCTCCGTCTCGCCTGCAGGCTGCTTCCGTCCGGTCGGACTGGAGTTTACGCTTACCGGCCAGCGCCTCTATATCTCGAGCGACACGACTGGTGAAATATTCTTGTTACAGAAAAATTAATCGTTCGCTTTTTTCTTGCCGTCTTCTTTCCCATATTTTTCCCCCTGATTGCCTTATGTATCCCTCTGAACCTGGTGTACATTAAGTCGAAACTAGTCTTCGCTGGACTACTACAGCTCTCTAGTTGAATATGAATTCGGAATTTCATCATTCATAAGCTTCGTGTCTACTAATACATAGGTTCCAATTAGTAGGGTTTTTCTACAATGCGGACAAGATCTTGCAGCCTCCTGTCTTGAATTTCTCATAGCCTCTTCTAGCCTACCTGAGTCTATGTTCTCGCCGTACTCTGGTTTCCTCCATCAGTAAGTTCCGGTCAGTTGCTACGCGTATCGAGGACGTCCGAAGGTTTATATTCGTGTTCCTCTTCCAATTTTGTTCTCCTCTCTTCCACCGGTATCCCTCGGCCTACCACCCATAAATTCATCGAGCACAACCACTCATGTTCGTGCAAAGTCCATCGGGACATTGCCATTGTATCTCAGGATCGGTGGGCGGTAAATATTTTGGACAACGTTGGTCCTCTTTCCCTGGCATCTTCCTTGATAAGATATGGCAAGGGACTATAACGTCGTCCATTTTGATGACCCTCAATATTCGTCCAAATCACACATGGAGGACGGTAGCAGACTTTTCTCCCTTGTCGATTCTTCATTCTTCTTCCGGACTCATATATCACAATATCTTGTTGCCGATATGCCTCCAAGAAATTTGTGCTCAGAACATTGGTTTGGGTTGGATGCGACGTCGCCCACATGAGATCGTAATAACAGGCACGGTGGGATATGTAAATGTAAAGTAAATTCTATTGTCGTCCAGATCAGGCTGGCCTTGTTCCTTCTTTTGCAAAATAGGATCAAACGGGGAGGGGAGCAGAACAAATTTATACTGCTCACTTCATCAGTGTAGAGCTTCCTGAAATGACAAAGAGTAGATTCAATGACTCGAGACCCTTCCTGGGCTGACCGAGCATTTTCCCATGTAGGCTGCTTCTGCATCTAGGTGAGCCTCCCCACCGCGTACAGAGTGTAATTCTAATGACTTTTACTCTATAGGCGGCATGCTCAAAACACGCCAGGCAGCTAATGAAAAATGAGCCGTTGGAGTCATTTCTCTTGCCCACTGTGGAGAACGAAGCACAGGAAGGTGATAAAGAAGGTCCGATTCACTGAAACGCGAGCGCAGAAGCAAAGTAACAAAATGTGCGACATTTTAGCAAGTTCACTCATGTTCAACGTCAACCCCGAAAGGTTCGTGGACAAGCGCAGATCACTCCAGATTCCCCCACCCCTAGGCATGGCTGTCGGCTTCGTAAGAAGCGAGGGTTAGGCAGCGTGTGCATATATATGCTTGTCCTGTTCTTTTCTCCTATGGCCCAACACTGCAACTTGCAATGACTGACGACGGGAACTTTGCCGCACCAGGCATCTCGTACTTCACGCCGAAGCAGAGCCCACCGGCGAGTACCGCCGTCACTCCGCAGAAGAGCGGCAAGCTTATTCCGAAGCTCTTCCAACCGCTGAGGATTCGTGGTGTCGAGTTCCAGAACAGGATATTCGTGCGTTATTCGTGTCTCTGTCGTCCGATGCCATGCTTATCGACATTGTCTACAGCTATCGCCTATGTCTCAATATTCCGCAAAAGATGGTATCGTAACGCCGTGGCATATGGCCCATAGTACGTCCGACCTATTTACTATTTACTCCCAACCTCATCTATACTACCTCTAACCTTCCCTCTCGAATAGTCGGCGGTATAGTCTCTCGCGGACCCGGACTCACCATGATCGAAGCAACCTCCGTTCTTCCTGAAGGCCGCCTCTCCCCCCAGGACGTCGGGCTCTGGTCCGACGAGCAGATCAAGCCCCTCGCGCAGCTCGTCGAGTTCGCGCACTCCCAGAGCCAGAAGATCGCTATCCAGCTCGCGCACGCGGGGCGCAAGGCATCGAGCGCCCCGCCCTGGTTGAGCGCCGGGCCGGTAGCCTCGAAAGAGACGGGCGGGTGGCCAGACGAGGTCGTTGGCCCGTCCCCAGTGCCGTTCCATGAGGCGTACCCGATACCGAAGGAGCTGACGAAGGAGGGAATTGGGAGGGTGGTGAAGGCGTTCGCGGAGGCGGCGAAACGCGCTGTGCAAGCTGGGTTTGATGTGATTGAGGTCCATGCCGCTCATGGATATCTGTTGTCCACGTTTTTAAGTCCTACGAGCAATCGGCGCACGGATGAGTATGGAGGAAGCTTCGAGAATAGGATTCGGCTGACCTTGGAAGTGGTGGACGCGATTCGTGCTGTCATCCCTGATACGATGCCGCTTTTCCTGAGGCGAGTGATGCACCTGCGTCTCATTTTCAGTGATACGTCTCTAACCTCCTTCCAGGATCTCCGGCACGGAGTGGCTCGAGGAAATCGCACCCAACGAGCCCTCGTGGTGCGTGGAAGACACTACCCACCTAGCCCCTATCCTCGCCGAGCACGGTGTCGACCTCCTCGACGTCTCTGCAGGCGGGATAGACTGGCGCCAAAAAATACGCCCAGGGCTCAAGTACCAAGTCCCTTTCGCAGCTGCGGCGAAGAGAGCCGTAGGCTCGCGCATGCTGGTCAGCGCCATCGGCGGCCTCGCCAATGGAGTCGTCGCGGAGGAGGTCCTGCAGGCTGGGGACGCGGATGCTGTATTTATCGGAAGGGCGTTCCAGAAGAACCCTGGTGTGGTGTGGAAGATGGCGGATGACCTTGGTGTGGAGATTCATGTGGCGAACCAGATTAAGTTGGGATTCACTGGGAGGAGCATTCAGTTGATGGGAGAGAGTGACGCGTCGAAGGAAGAGGGAAAGCTGTAGGATCGGACACAAGTAAGGGAATAAAGACACATACATGAAATCCATGTCACAAGCATCTGTGCAGCGTATAGGCGATATACAAGCCAATGATTGGCGCGCAAGAGTAGGCCTGTTTGTCGAAAGTGGCCCGACACGTACCTGGACTAGTGGAATACGGCAAGAGAGAGGACCTGAAGCTGCGAAGGAGGGAAAGTGAGAAAGTGAGGGGATATGCCCCGCTGTCAAAACGGTTGTTGCTTCCTTCCATCATGCCTTGAATCGATTATCCTGCAGCTTCCGTTGTCCCGTGGAGACTCCAGCGCGAAATACACGCCTGTGGACCAGCTAATACAGGAAAACGTAGTTCGATGAGGTGTGGAGGGGCTCTAGGGCCAGTGAGGTACATCATAAGGAGGTATCTCGAAAGATATAAATGACGAAGGGCAGTGGTCGCACACTCCGGCGGAAGGGACTAATTGTAGGTCCCAGGAATCGAACCGATGACTTAGAGCATCGACTTTGTGGGATTTCACACGATAAAGCAGCTATCAGCGCGATTGAACCACATAGTTGGCCAGTAGAAGCGTGTCGCTACCTGTTGTCTCGTCGGATAGAAGCGCTTGTGGCCGAGTTCATCATGAGCCGTCTTCAGCACCAGTAGGCGATCCTGTTCAAATAGCACAACACGATGCCGTCCGTCGCGTTCTCGGTACCATAGTCGGCCTCCAGCCAAGAAGAAACATGAAGCTCTCTTGAAGAATTTGCATAGGCCTTTGGCATCCAAGCCCGCAGGCGGTTTCAGCATCGACAAATACTTTTCCACCTTCCGTAAGTCTTTGTCCTTCTTTCTCCCAACATCGTTCACCGGCAGCTCCCCTTCATCAGTCGCCTCCACGCACTTCCTCCCATAAGCCAGAACCAAACCCTTCGCCCCAATTCTCTTGTTTCCCACTTCAAACACCCCCGACTCCAAGCTCGAAGCCACCCACACACCACACATCAAAATTTCCTCCACCCACTCGTCAGTGCTCTCACCCTCATTCTCGACGCAGTCATCATCATCTGCTCCTCTTCTTCTTGATAACCCATCAGGTCCTCTGAAAAATTTCCCCGGAACATGGACAAGTTTGAAGTCGAACATCAAAATCGCAGCTATCCACTGGTTCATGGCAGCATTGGGATGCATATCTGGGTTGTTGATCATGCCCTTGATGTACTTCGCATCGACCTCTACAGTCAGGTTTTGGATGCCAATAATGTAAATCTTGACAGCGTGCAGTGAACGGAACAAGCCATAGAGCTCGATTTTTGCCTGTGAGTACTTCGCCTCACATTCATTCAGTGTCATTGAACCAAATCGCGCAGGGCGTCGTTGTCCTTTATCATCAAGTTGAGCAAGAATATACCCGATTGCGATCATGGATGAGTCGACGGAGAGGATAACCTCTAAGTTGGAGGTGTAGTCGATGGGCCGAATTGCAGGGCACATTGTGACAGCATGCTTCAAGGTATCCATTGCTTTCTGTTCATCTTCCCCCCACACAAACTCAACATCTTTCTTTGTCAGCTTCACCAAAGGCAAAGCCTTCTCTGCGAAGCCTTCTACCCACTTCCTCACAACACCCGCGACCCCCAAGGAACCCTGTACTTCCGAGACATTCACACACACCGGCCACTTCATGATTTTTGAGATCATGGAGACATCTGGCTGTCGTCCTTCGTATGTTGATAGTTGGCCAACGATGACCACTTGCGGCTGACAGACTACAAGTTTAAGAGCAGAGAACGTCCTGCCAGCACGACCAATGCGGTGAAGGATCCGGTTGAGGTCGACGAGGTGTTCTCAAATGAATCGGCAAATGCCAGGATTCCCCATCAAAACCTCGAACCCTCCGTCCGGTGTCTCGTATCGTGTCCGTGGCCCCAACACTGTCACATCGTCTACAAAATTTGGTGCTATCTCTGTCTCGTGCTGCAGCAAAAATGCAACCTGGCGATGGAATATCCCCGGCGATCCAGTCCACCCCTGAGGCAAAACTGTGAGGCGATGGGTTCCGAGAGGGGTGTCGAATGTTGTCAGATCTCTTGATTCCTCTGCCAAGGAGCTGTGATCAAAGCCAACAAAGATGTCGAGAGTTGAATAAACACCACAGCCGCTGCACAACTCTGTGTACTGGTCGATAATTGGAAGTTGTGAGCCACCTTTTATGGTAACCTCATTGAGCGGTGCAAGGTTGTGTACGATGCATATGTCACCGTTCTT